GATCAATCATCAACAACATGGACGTTGCATTTGCATCCACTTCTGTTCCTGAAGGAACTCAAATTGGAAATGTTTTGGTTGAAGCAGCTTCAAACATCACAGCCTTCAATGTTGACCTCAACTCCATTGTTGTGAATGGCTCACGTAAGACATATTAAATAATGTTTTGCAAATCTTTTTTAGATTTGATGTTTTTTTATTTATTAAGGCTTCTGTCCCTGTAATTCGTAGGTATATAAGGCTGCATTTAATTGTAATGCTTTTGAGCCCTCTGGATACAGTTATTAATTTACTCCAATTTTATTCTTTTATTACAGTAATAAACATTCCATCAAATTCTACAACTGCACCTCCCACCTTGAATACTACAGCTAATGCAAGTATGAGTACTACAGCCAGAACTCCTCCAACCACCACAATCGCAGTGGTACCTGCATCACCAGCAGCTGTAACATCCGAGGCGGTCACAACGAGGCGATTGACTTTCAGATCTGCTGGAGAGACATTTACCACTGACTTGCTGAATTCATCATCTGCAGCGTTTCAAAGAAGAGCCTCATTGATAACGTCAAATGTAAGTAATGGATGATACGTTGTTTTTTTCAAAAATCAAGGGAAGAAGTGTCTTTATTGTGATTTTATTCCTGTTACTGAAATTATTTACAATAAATCATATTTTCATGCATTAAGAATAGGACAGATAGACAATCCGGTAGTTGTTGAAAGAAGGGTTATGGTGTTACAACTTACTTTTGTAGTTTGGAAAAAAACACAATCATCAAAAGAGAAATGCACAGCTTAAGAAAAAACAACCAAATTAAATATACAAATTCTTTTATTTAAACGATTTACTTGTATTTCTGCAGCTTGTGCTGTTCTACCAAACAGCATTCGCTACTTTCCGGAACTTAACAGTGACTTCATTCGGGTAATTTTTCAATTTTCTTATGGCCGGATCTTAAGAGCTCTAATCATGAATGTTTACAAATTAAAAAATGTTACATTTTGTTTATTTAATTTGCAGTAATGGATCAATCATCAACAACATGGACGTTGCATTTGCATCCACTTCTGTTCCTGAAGGAACTCAAATTGGAAATGTTTTGGTTGAAGCAGCTTCAAACATCACAGCCTTCAATGTTGACCTCAACTCCATTGTTGTGAATGGCTCACGTAAGACATATTAAATAATGTTTTGCAAATCTTTTTTAGATTTGATGTTTTTTTATTTATTAAGGCTTCTGTCCCTGTAATTCGTAGGTATATAAGGCTGCATTTAATTGTAATGCTTTTGAGCCCTCTGGATACAGTTATTAATTTACTCCAATTTTATTCTTTTATTACAGTAATAAACATTCCATCAAATTCTACAACTGCACCTCCCACCTTGAATACTACAGCTAATGCAAGTATGAGTACTACAGCCAGAACTCCTCCAACCACCACAATCGCAGTGGTACCTGCATCACCAGCAGCTGTAACATCCGAGGCGGTCACAACGAGGCGATTGACTTTCAGATCTGCTGGAGAGACATTTACCACTGACTTGCTGAATCCATCATCTGCAGAGTTTCAAAGAAGAGCCTCGTTGATAACGTCAACAGTACGTAATGGATGAAACATTATTTTTCTAAAAATTAAGGGAAAAAGTGACATTTTATTCCTGGTACTGAAACTATTTACAATAAATTATGTTTTCATGCATTGAGAATAGGACAGATAAACGATCCAGTAGTTGTTGAAAAAAAGGTTATAGTGTTACAACTTGCTGTTGCAGTTTGGAAAAAAACAATCATCAAAAGTAAAATGCACAGCTTAAGAAAAAACAACCAAATTAAATTTACAAGTACCTTTATTTGAACAATTTACTTGTATTTCTGCAGCTGGTGCCGTTCTATCTAAGAGCATTCCCTACGTTCCGCTCCTTAACAGTGACCTCGTTCAGGTAATTTTTTATTTTATCATAACAGGATCTTAAGAGCACTGAACATGAATGTTTACAAATTAAGTCAATATTACATTTTGTTGTTTCATTTGCAGTAATGGATCAGTCATCAACAACATGACCATTGTATTTTCATCAACTTCTGGTCCTGAAGGAACTCAGATTGGAAATGTTTTGGTTGAAGCAGCTTCAACCATCACAGCCTTCAATGTCGACCTCAACTCCATTGTTGTGGATGGCTCACGTAAGACATATTAAATAATGTTTTACAAATCTTTTTGGGATTTTGTGTTTTTCATTTGTTAAAACTTCTGTCACTGTAATTCTTAGGTATATAGGACTGCATTTAATTGTAATGCTTTTGAACACAAAGAAATACACCCCATGTCACTAACAAGTAATCTGCCAGAGTCTCTGAGTTGGTTTGTGTGGTTTCCTGATCCTTCTTTGGCAAATCGGTTGTTTGACAAAGAACACACAATCTAAATATGAATATCATGAAGTCCACAGTGGCATTAGCAAGAGTACTCAACCTTTGATTTACCAAAGTGACGTGTTGCAGGGGTAGAAAGGGTGCGCTGGGAACCGCAAGGTTGGCGGTTTGAGCCCCTGCTGCCCCATGTTGAGCAAGGCACCTAACTCCTAATTGCTCCCTGGGCAAAATGTAAACAGCCATGGGTTAAAAATGCAATGTAAGTCGCTCTGGATAAAAGCGTCAGCTAAGGGACCTGTACTGTAGTGTAATGTTCTAATGTTTGGGTTGGATCAAGAGAAAGCTTTCTGGCTATTATTCATTATCTCCAACTTTATTTGTTTTTTACAGAACCAAACATTACTTCAAGTTCTACAACTGCACCCTCGACTTTGAATACTGCAGCACCCATAACAGCAGCACCTGTAACATCTCAGGCGGTCACAACGAGGCGATTGATTTTCAGATCTGCTGGAGAGACATTTACCACTGACTTGCTGAATCCATCATCTGCAGCGTTTCAAAGAAGAGCCTCATTGATAACGTCAAATGTAAGTAATGGATGATACGTTGTTTTTCTAAAAATCAAGGGAAAAAGTGACATTTTATTCCTGGTACTGAAACTATTTACAATAAATTATGTTTTCATGCATTGAGAATAGGACAGATAAACGATCCAGTAGTTGTTGAAAAAATGGTTATAGTGTTACAACTTGCTGTTGTCATCAAATGGAAAATGCATAGCTTAAGAACAAACAACCAAATTAAATATACAAGTACTTTTATTTGAACAATATTCTTGTATTTCTGCAGCTGGTGCCATTCTATTTAAGAGCATTCCCTACGTTCCGCTCCTTAACAGTAACTTCATTCAGGTAATTTGTTAATTTTATTATGACAGGATCTATAAGTGCAGAGATCATGATACACATGTATTAATACAAATTAAACAATATTACATTTTGTTATTGCATTTGCAGTAATGGATCAATCATCAACAACATGGACCTTGGATTTTCGTCAACTTCTGTTCCTAATGGCACTCAGATTAGAAATGTTTTGGTTCAAGCAGCTTCAACCATCACAGCCTTCAATGTTGACCTCAACTCCATTGTTGTGGATGGCTCACGTAAGACATATTAAACAATGTCTCACAAATCTTTTTTTACATTTTTTCATTCTTTATTTGTAAAAATAAAATCTTGTTTTCTTTTCTCATTCATTACAGAGGTTTCAAGTGGAGTAAGCCACAAGATCAGTCTCATCACTGCATCCTTCCTCGTACTGTTGTCATGGATACTGTCAAGCCAGCAATAGTATCATCGCTGACTCCTGTTAGAAAAGCCCTGATTGAATGACTGCCATCACTGGCATGACAAATGAGTTCTTGATTATTGTCCAAGGAACCTTGTACATCTTTGGATAAACATACTATCAAATGTGATTTTGCATTGACCGCACAGCATAATGACAGTGGAATAGAAGTCAACATGTTTTCGGCTGGGAATGTCCAGGATTCTAGACCAAAAACAATATGCAGCCAATTTTAATAACCCAAATAGAATACCATTTAGCACTGAGATGTAAAAGAAACAATGTTTATTACCATCATGATACGCATTACTTTGCCTCTTTATTCTAAACATTCAAATACCACCCGAGAGTATAAGAGACACTTTAGTATTAATTCAGCTTCAAGTACAGCCAAATCTAGAGCTTTGTTTTGGGAAATGCCATTTATATAAAATTTAATTCAATATTTGATTTTGAAAAATGTGTTTAAAGCCGCTTTATTGGTTATGTGTGGTCAGGACTCTTTCTCTCTCTACTCACCCTCAAGGTTAGACTTCAGTGAAGGTTTGAATTACATTTAAAGCAATGGAACATTATTGACAATATATCCTCAAATGTCGTTAGTGGCCAAAAGATGTAAAAATGTATAACTTAAACTTGTATTCTGTGAGATTTCCTGTTTCCTCTATTTTTGTCAAAACCTTTGCAACAATCATAATACAAAATATCAAATTATTAAAATTCTCTCAAAATGATTTGCCATTTCTCCTCTCAAAAGCAACACATTTCATGTATTATCATTTCGTTATCTATATGCTGGGCAAACAAACAAAAGATTGAAATTGATTAATCGCATAATCTTCTTTGATTAAAAGCGATTAATGGCATTATGTACAAAATTCCTTAATACATATACATTTTATTTTAAATTAATGTTATCAGAACAATATAAGATGCACTCCCAGAGCAACATCCAGTTAATATACATTATATAAATATAATTATTTCCAGAAGAGACATTTGTCTTTTATCAGGGAAAAGCATACTGCATAATGCAGCGTATGTTCAGTAGTAAACGGTCCTTTTTATGCTGCGTTTACACCAAAGGTGAAGCGAATGATTTGCTCGAGTAGATTGCATGCAAAGTCAATGCACAGACACGACTGGTCGCGGAGGAAACGACGGGCGGCGCGAAATAATAAACGCGTCGGACGCGAAAAAGCGAAGGGAGCAAAGCGAAAGTTGAAATATTTCACCCAAATTTAAAATATTTTAATTTTGGGCGAAACGAAAATGTCATGAACCCGAACACAACACCGTGTGCGTTCCTGACGTTTGTGTAATTCACACGACAAATAAAGAGTAGAAAAAGTGGTTATTTATTTCCATGGTGGAAACAATAACTGTCTTTACGGAAAAATGCAGCAGAGATAAGCCACGCGAATGAAGCGAAATAACTCCCAACTAGTCGGGCGTGTAAACTCACGCGAGTAAGGTGAAGTGGTGTAGCACAAAAAAATGACAAATAAAATTAAAAAAAAACATTTAGATCTGACCTCCACGGCACACGTTACTCTTGTCTAGTTTAGACTTGATTCACTTTGTGAAAGAATTGTATTTCAAGATGTGCGAAATTGTTGTCGCATTTCATTTGAGGAGGTCAGTGAAGCGCTCACGGTTCATCCTGTCAATCATCCTGGCTCCCCCTGTGATTGGCAGAGAGAGGCGGGTGGGACGGTACGATGTGATCGTGGTAGATGTGTGTGCGTCACACTATGTGAAACATGCGAGTGATCGTTTGGCAGCATTGACTATTATCAAGCCACAAATAAAAGTATAAAAGCAAGTTGGCGTCTCGTCGCTTTGCTCAATAAGAGTCGTCACAGTAGATTAAAAGGAGATTTACTTTGCGCAGTTTGTTGCAGCAGTTGAGAAATCGCTCTTTTCTGCTCATCTTCAGCTCGATACTTTGTACTTTATTTTAGTTAAAGCTATATTTACATTATATTTTTTCCTGATTGCGAAAATCTCACTCTGAAGGATACAGGTAAGCCAGCATCGTTGGCAGCGAAAGCAGATCGTCCACGCAGAATTAAACTCCCTTATTTCGGATTTTTCCACTGATGACTGCAGAGGAATGCAAATCATAGTCCGCCACCTGCAGGGGAAGTTGTTATAGACAGCGGCGCAGTAAGATTAATTCAACTGCAAAATATTAAAACTTTTTTCTTTTTTCAGTGACATATTATCCCCTCAAACTCAAGATAACAAGATAAGAGTGTTTCCCTTTGAAAAATGTTCTACTGTGAAAATATTAAAAGAAGAATAGCCCTACCGTATTTCCATGATATTTTATATCAAAGTCTTGGGGAACTCCATGCTGCCGAACCCTGACCTAGCACATAACCTACTCAAATGTAACATTTAACGCCATGAAATGAACATTCAAGATATTACGGTTAATTTAATTTGGTGATGTATTTTTTAATCATGAATGTAATCAATGCCTACCGACCACTCTTTTTATATCGCCGTAAAAAAGACTAAAAGACATGATCACTAAGAATACACAGTGAAATGCAACCTTTTTCTGTTTCCAATGTTTGTTCCACTCTTCCTGCTCCATCTAATACCCTAACCATCTAACTTCCACACTACTAATAGACTTTAGACAGAAGGCATATAAACGCTATAAAACAAGGCATGCTCCACAATAAGCCAAAGTTTGACAAATATATATGTATATTTATATAAGCAGATTGTACTCCCAACACATTACACCTCATGCATCCCGTATATCTTGTCTTGTAACTTTGATAAGTCCTGTCATACTTACTGTTGTTGGGTTGGAGGAATATTGTCTAGTCTGATTTACAAAAAACAATTACTTAACTCAGAGTAACAGATTAAGGAGCAGACTTAGACATTATATAACAGTGTGAACTTTTATAGTAGTTTGTTGTGATTTTTGTTGCGGTAAGGTAGTTATAGAAAAACAAATCTGTCTGTCTCATCAACAAACAAATCAAAGGAATGTTGATCACCAGGAAGTAAAACGCAAAAAGAACGTCAGGGATAGTCTTTGTTACAAAAGACATCAGTATGTATCCCTGCATGATACAATACGGGGACAGAAGATCACTGCCTATTAAATATTTGCGCCATAACATAAGCTGACGTTAAAAAAAGCTCCAAAAGACATTTCATTGAACCATCAATATATTTTATAAGTTTAAACAGCTCTGGTTGATTTAACCGGTTTTATCCAAACAAAATAAGAGAAGCACCAAAGGTTTGAAAAATGATTGCATATCTTGCTTAGCCAGGCACATCATGGAACTGGTTTTAAATGAAATTTAATTAATACCCATTTAACGTGGAGAAGACTAGAGAAAGCCTAAGCAGCTGCTGTTTACTTGTTATTTTTAAACTAAAATGACCAGGTGATATTTACCATTTATTAAATATAGCGATTTCTATTGGATAATATTGATCCAGTAAACTGTCACTTTATTGGAACAATATGAAATTAGCATTATTGTTTTGTATTTTTACTGTATTGTCTCATGTATTTATATAAATCTTTTAATAAATCACTATTAATTGGTTTATTCTAACTTACTATGACGTTGGTGGAACATCCTTTTTCATTCAAGTAGGTGGAATGCACCAGAAACCTGTTTAACAGGCCCCAAGAAGGGGATGTGTCATTGTGTATCTGTATAAACAAATCGAAAAAATGTGCTGATGAGTGACGTGTTTAGCTTTTAAACTGTGTCTATATAAAAGACCGTAATAGATGTAATTTGTCACATCAGATATAAGGTTTGCAACATCCCAGGTGCAAAGCAGACGGAATTAATTGACACTGAGATAGTTTTAAACATCAAGAGCAGTGTGAGAGGGGAATTCACCACGTTTCATCTCCAATTTTCATCTGATAGATTCCTGTAAGTATATTTTTAAGTCAATACACAGGTGTCTGTATTTTTATAGTCTCTGCGTGGGTTTCAAAGAGAGAGCGAGCGAGAAAAGTAGTTTTCCACCACCTGTGTGTGTCTACTTGATAATATTAAGTATATTTATTAATGTACCAAGATACCATATTACAATGATGCCAGATTCTTATTCTTTTAAAGTTTGGGGAAATGTTTAGGGATTTTCTTGATTTACACATGAAAATAACAACAGGTAATTGTCACTTGAGATTATTACCATTTCAATTTCACATTGTAAAATAATAGCGTCATCTGATGTTCATGTTTAAGACCAATTAAAAGTGGTATTAGTATTTGGATTTATGGCCCATCCATGTATGTTGAATACTTTAGCTAAAGGATCATATTATCAAATTCTTTTTTTCTGATAAATGTGTGTTGTATTCCATACCTTGTGTCTAGATTATTTTGAGGTGGAAAAACACTGTTTTTGTAAACAAAATATGTTTCTCTTTAAATGTAGTAAAACATACTGCTATAACGAATATTGTCATAATACGACGTAATACTGTATAAAATTGAAAAGGTAAGTAAGAACTAAAAATCATTGGTTCAGAAGCTGTCATTGTGCTACTTATGTGAGTTACTGAACCCTTTGATCCCTACTTTGAGGAATTTGCAGGGATTCAAAAGAAAAAAGGATGGATGTGGGACGGTTTGTATCAATCATCCTGATTCTAATAGGTAAGCTGAGCCTCAAACATGAATAACAATGGGTATAAAAAAATGAAGCTTTGTGTTGGTAATCGTTAAAAACATTTTAAATTGAAAATAGCAATAACAATGACAAGTGGAACGCTGACATAAAGCTGTGTCTCAACAGGAACAGGAACTACCATGACTGCAGTACCAACAACAGCTGCACCTACAACGGCTGCACCTACAACTGCATCACCAACAACAGCTGCACCTACAACTGCTGCATCTACAACTGCAGCACCTACAACTGCGGCACCCACAACCGCAGCACCTACAACAGCTGCACCCACAACAGCTGCACCTACAACTGCAGCACCCACAACCGCTGCACCCACAACAGCTGCACTTACGACAGCTCCACCTACAACTGCAGCACCAACAACAGCTGCACTTACAACAGCTCCACCTACAACTGCAGCACCTACAACAGCTCCAACCACAACTGCAGTACCCACAACCGCAGCACCCACAACCGCAGCACCTACAACAGCTCCACCTACAACTGCAGCACCAACAACAGCTCCACCTACAACAACTGCAGCACCTACAACAGCTGCAACTACAACCGCAGCACCTACAACAGCTGCACCCACAACAACAGCACCCACAACAGCTCCACCTACAACTGCAGCACCTACAACTGCAGCACCAACAACAGCTGCACCTACAACTACAACTGCAGCACCTACAACTGCAGCACCAACAACAGCTGCACCTACAACGGCTGCACCTACAACTGCATCACCCACAACAGCTAAACCTACAACGGCTGCACCTACAACTGCATCACCAACAACAGCTACACCTACAACTGCTGCATCTACAACTGCAGCACCTACAACT